GTCTATCAATTGAATCGATATTGTAGTTAACCCTTACCTTTTCTAATGGTTTTCTTTGGGCGAAATTAAACGTGTGGGAATTTTTTTCAAAATAATATTCAAAATGAAACAGTTTAGCCATTTAACTTAAATTAGGTTAAAGTAATTTAACTGAAGTTAAATTAAATGTTAATGTGTTTTTACTTCACCTGTGAATTGTTAAGGTCTCATAAATACAAAATTAAACCAGACAAGGGAACAAAATATTAATCACTTTTTTGTTTTATTTAGGCGTCAGCTGCAATGCTAACACCTCAGATAAAATCTCTGTCTTATTTTGATTTTGAGTTTAAGTTTAAAATTCAACGTTTCTCAGAATGTGTAAATGCTAAGAAATAAAAAATAAAAATAAACCGTGGGACTTGAGGCTAAACTCATATTTACATTCCTTTAAAGAGAAATTGCAGATTGTCATAAAAGTAAGTAACTCTCCTGTCCTACGTAGAACTATCACTGATCAGAGGTTCACACACACAGAAACACCTCCTGAACTGAAACAGCTCCCTGACGTTGCATCAGATTTGTTTTTCCTCCTCAGGTTAGTGAGTGTTTACTCACAAGTCCTTAAGAATATACAACAACTCATATATATATATATATATATGCACAACATTTTTAAACCAAACCGCTCAGAAGTACAGTACACACTTGTTTTTGGTGAATAAATTCGCAGTACTCGTTGGTAACTTCAGTTTCATGCCGCAGTACTGACAGAAGAAAGAAAAACAATGCACCTACGTCACATCCTGTGTCATTAACAGGCATATTATCCATATAAATGTTAGAATCTGGCCTAAACAAATTCAACAAACTGTAAACAAACTGGCCAACGAGACAAACCACAGCATGTAAACACAACCAGCATCGTTTTACAAAACATTACATTTCCACAAGAATTACGGACGTAGAAGCAAAACAAAAAAAAAGCCAAAGTTGTACTAAACATTTGAAAAAGAGTTTCTTACCTTTGCTGTTTTGTCTGAAAAAAAAAATCCACCGGAATATAACCACAAATACTGAGGAATTGCTTCCGGTGCTTCGCGAGCATTTTCCCGTTCAAAATATCAGTTTTTCACCCAGAAACAGAGGTCTGATTGGATAACGGGCGGGTCATATATTTTGTCTTTATTTAAATATTAATTGGGTGATTTTACGTGAAGCTGATGACATAAACGTGATTCCATTGGATTAGAGGATTAAGAGGCGGTGCCAAATGTCTATCAATTGAATCGATATTGTAGTTAACCCTTACCTTTTCTAATGGTTTTCTTTGGGCGAAATTAAACGTGTGGGAATTTTTTTCAAAATAATATTCAAAATGAAACAGTTTAGCCATTTAACTTAAATTAGGTTAAAGTAATTTAACTGAAGTTAAATTAAATGTTAATGTGTTTTTACTTCACCTGTGAATTGTTAAGGTCTCATAAATACAAAATTAAACCAGACAAGGGAACAAAATATTAATCACTTTTTGTTTTATTTTCATCTACAGTAATACAAGGGCATCAGCTGCGATCATAACACCTCAGATAAAATCTCTGTCTTATATTGATTTTTATTTTAAGTTTAAAATTCAATGTTTCTCAGAATGTGTAAATGCTGAGAAATAAAACATATTTCACTGATCAGAGGCGAAGCATTTTAAATAACTTTAAGTAACCTGGCATTCTTAACGCAGTCAAATGTTTTAGCTGTGATGGTGTTGTTAAAACTTGTGCTCACATTGATTTGACTGACTTGCGTCTTCACTCGACAGGTCGGGCCTGTTACCCTCCTAAACACGACACTGGGTCGACATCAGCTGACGCGCTGTGATCTGATCTCCTCTGAACATTGAGCGGCACACTTAATAATGATGACCTACTTAAAGCTCTGACTTAATAACAAATCATCACCGAGCATGTTATTAAATTATAAATTATGTTAAATAGTTTAACACTTAAAACACAATTTATATATATATATATATATTAAATTACACTTTATGAGTTTTTGAGAAGTGGTGGATCTACCACAACCACAGTATAAAGTAATTTCCCATATTGTTACATAAAACTTCCTCTTTCTGGTAAGTGAAGTCATTGTGATGTCATAATATCGTCTGAATGTGACTGGCTGACTGATGTGATGCAATACTCGCCGTATTTTACAAGGGAAAACATCAGAGACTTCCTGCTCTGGAGTCATGACTCTCATGGCACTTCAGGAGGGGGAGGGGGCAGTGTGTGTGTGTTTTTATGTGTTGTAGATGCACCTGTGGGGACATTTTAAGGTCTCCACTGAGTATTAGAGGTTCAAGATTCAGTTTGGAGTTAGGATTAGGATTAGGGTCAGATTGAGTTAGGTTAGGAATTAGCATTGATGTTGGGCTGAGAGGCTGGAGAGGTGTCTGTGTGAGGTGTTCACAAAACCAAACCAAACTAAAAAAAAAAAACAACCTCACAAACGCTGATAAAAGGAGACGAAGTTTCCGTGCATTAATGTTGCACAATAGTTGATGAGCAGAACGTGATCTGGTGTGGACTAGATAAACACCAGGTGTGTTAGTGTGTGTGTGTGTGAATATGTTACTCATTGGTGAGTAAGATCGAGGTCATTCTACCTTGTCTAGACCTTGAAACTGCACGTACATGAAATATGATATTAACATACTAACAATTACTTCTAATATGAGAAAAAAAATTAAATAAATGCAAGTTTCTTAATGTGAACTACAGTATGGAGAGAGAAAATTACTATTCTGTATTTTAACATGTACTACACTCTTTACTGCTATTAGACATGGACATGTACTACACTCTTTACTGCTATTACATTACAAACAGATTTTATCTTACTAATAATCTACACAGCAGTTTTGTGGTTGGAAAATGCTAGAAAGGTCGCATGTTATGGCTTTTTGAGATGTGGTATATAAGAAATGATTTCAGTTCATAAAGATGGTGATTAAAAAATGGTTTTGATGAATCAACTAAAACAGAACAACTGGTGAGAAAAAAGAGAAAAAAAAAACAACGAAACTGTCGATTATGTTCTTCTGACCGAGTGTGTCACGTTTTTTTTATGAATGTAATTCAAAGTTCAACCGTGATGGTCAGCATTACTGCTAGGGTGGAACTTCCTGGTACTGAAGGTACCAGGACAAAGGGGAAATTTCCCTGTTCAAACCAGTCAGGACTAGTTGTAGTCCAACGTTAAAGGGATAACTCTCCTAACTCTTACAGTTGGTCTGTTGATCCTTACTAGACTAATGTTTAATATTCATACGATACAGACCACGGATATCTATGTATATATAACAAATACTACACATATATTACGTGTAGTTATCATACTCTTGTTGGTGATACTTGGTCACATCAGCATTACTCAGCTGGACCGAGCCTCTCGAGCTAACACACCGGTGTAATGTCTGAACATGTTGCGTGAGACTCAAAACGCGGAAGTTTCTAGAAGATTCAAGCGGTGAAGCCCCGCCCACAAGCAGCCCAGCTGACGCAACCAGCGACTCTCCGGTATAAAACCTCGGCGCTCGCTTTCATTCTTTGCACCCCTTCTGTATCATCATTCATGGATAAACGACAGAACACACGATCGGAGGAGGCACCGGAGCTGTGGGAAAAAGACTTAAAATGGAGTATACACCGGCTTTACTCTCTGGACTCCCCGCGGACGAACACAGCGTGGTGGACATGATAGCCAAGTACCTGCTGCCGCTCCGGTCCCCGGGCAGACAGAGCAGCTCTGTCCGCAGAGGCAGCGTCGACAGCTGCGACGAGAAAGAGCACTCAACCGGTGAGTTCTTTTTTTAAAAACCTTGAGTTAATCTTCTGAAACCAAATGTAACTCGTCATATTGGAATAATAAACGTAAAGAGAACGTTTGTTTGAGTTCAATTCAATACTCGATAATTAATACAAATAAAAATCGAATTAACTCGACTACGGCGTCAACACTATAAATAGAACTAATGATACTTTAAAAAAAGTTTAATAACGTGAAATATTTAGACAAATGTAACAAAACGATTTTTTTTCAAACTTTTCAAAACGATTTAAAGACACTTTTGAAGAGTCAGGTCAGCTGTTCACTCAGAGCCGGCATTTAACAGAGTAACGGAGATCTTTTTGTATAGGAAAAGTACGATATAGAAAAGTGTCCAAAATTAACTGAATAAAGTAGTTCGTGTTTTTTGACTCTGGTTCTGTCTGACCAACAGATTCCCGTCTGCACTCGGGCCTGGAGTTGGAAGAGTACCTACTTTCGCAGGATGTGACCCAGCAGTTAGAACGCTGTCTGACGGAGGCCAAGGCGTCCAGCCTCCATTGCCAAGTGCTGCTGCTGCCTCACGGTATGACCACCAGGGTTGGCCGGGATGTGTTGGCGACCTCGGTTGACGAACCCTGCGGCATCCGGGGAGCATCCATCAAGGTCTACGTGGACGGCAAAGACGGCCTCAAATGTATTGGGAACGTGTTCCCAGACCAGAGTGTCACCCCGACGTTTGAGCTGTCTGTCGTCTTCAAGGCGGAGAAGAACGACGGCTGGCCGTCTCTCAAACTCCTCTTTGATTCTAGTAAAGTGCTGAAGCTGAGGCCAGAGTATCGGCTGGTGAAGAGGAAGCTGTACTCTTCTGCCACTCCCGTGGTTCACGATTTCATCTCGGGGTGACGTTATCGTCTTATTGTTTACCTCCGAGTTTTGTATCAGACCGAACAAAAACTGAAACTCTAGTTACTGTGAACTCCCTTTGTTTGAATGTCTTACTTTAGTACCACAGTATTTTTTTTTTACACACTGTAGACATGACTACTTCCTGCCAGTAGTGGGCAGGTCTCACTCCAGGCACCTACTGTACTTTGATGCATTTATTTATGTTTTGTTAAATAAACAGTTCACTTCCTTTAATCCTGACATGCCTTTTTCTTCAACTACATATTTAACTCTTTACTTCACAGGACCAGTAACTAATCGTTGACTAAACCAA